ATGAATTGTTAAGGTTTGTCAGGTGGATAAGGTACTACTGATCACTGATGTTCGGGTTCCAACCATCTTTCAATGACAGGATGAAGTGCTCAGTTATCAGCTAACACTAGCACACTTGGTTAGCACAGTTGGTTAGCACAGTTGGTTAGCACAGTTGGTTAGCCAGCTGTACCAGTAAACTGTATGGATGAAACACAAAGATGCCAATATCTGTCGATTTCAAAATGCCCTCTCCTTTTTTTTTTTGCTTCACATCTGCTGAATATTTGAATAAGAAACTTTTTGCCAACATTTTTCTTGCAACAACTTTATCATCTAATAATATATTGGTGTCTGTGTACATTTTTTGCTGTGCTTCTGCAGGTGGAGGTGCAATAATGCAACAAAACACAGCAAGACAACTTAAATGGTCTGTAAGAAGCATTTTTACATGCACGTGTACAAGAATACAATCATGCAGCATCAAAGTAGTATATGACTTTGCTTTGCCTTCTACTCATTTGCTGTAACCATAGACCTCTCGAGGCATGCTAGTTCAATTGTCTCAATGATCTCATGTGTAAAAGGGAAGATTACACTGGGCAGGTGTCATGGGTTCTGGACACAAGGGTTCTTTCAGGCTTCAATCCACTGAGGAATTCACCATCATCGCATAGATTTGAAGATTAAAACTTCTGAGAGGTCCACTTAACGTTCCACTGGAGCACAACAGGGGTGAGCAAGTATGCCACTTGTAATTGTCAAACAAGCAAGTGGCCGTCTGCTCTGCAAGGTCACAGGATCTCCTGGTAAAAGGGTTGAAGGGAAAGTGAGAGGCCCAGAGCTGGGCACAGTCTGGAGCCAAAGGATTTGAGCCATGAATGTAGGAAGGGTCTGGGGCTGAGTCATAATGACTCCTGATGCCAATCGAACCCAAAAACCTTATGTGTCATTGCAGCTCTTGCAGAAAGTGTTGATCTAGCTGGTAACAGAAAGGGGCTTTTCAGACTGTGTGTATGTTGTTGGGTTTAGAGATAATCTGTTAGCAATTTAGCAATTATTCTTTGTTATTTAGTCCACAGCTGATATGTGCATTTCTGTGAAACTAAACTTTAGCTTAGAGATGCTTTGAGTTAAGGATCAGTGTGCTAACAGACCAGTGTTTAGCTTTACCATTAAACATGCTTGTTTAGAATATAAGCATGATAAGGCTGGTGGGAATGCCGTCACTGTCATGAATAAAAGTACTGGTTGTAGCAAGGCTTTATAAAAACTTTAACTATATGGAAAAGAGGATCACAAGTTATTAATGTATATTATCTGAGAAAAAAAAGAATTAGTATTGGTAATAGTAAGCTGTCTATTGTAAAGCATGAGATGTAGCGTTTGCATTGCCGGGAGAGAAAAGGTCCGAGGAAGTCTACTATCCGTAGACCCATCCCAGGAGAAGGGCTGAAAAAGGTTGATTTATCCCAATGATTTAAGTCGGGTAAAGGTTTCATGTCTTTCATTTGTATCTCCTCATGAAAGTATGCAAAAATAAGTGAGAAGAAGCTTTTGTCAGTTTACACAACAGTGATTTACATGTCAGTATTTATGATGTACCAGTCATTAGATGATCAAGCATCGGCTAAAATTTATTTCCTCTTAACAGAAAACAGCCATTTCACAGACTACAAACCAAAGTGGCGTACCTGAAGCCTCAACTATCCTCGAGGCTATTTGAACCCACTGAACCTTTAAAAAGTTCAAGCAGGACTTTTTAGAGCCAGAAGAAGAAGAAAGAGGAGGAGGAGGGGACTTGCAGTTTTGTGTATCACTATGTTGCCACTCTGCTGGTGGTGTGATGACTCTAGGGGTTTTTTTGCAAGACAGAGACAAGAGGACTGCAGGAGACCCGACAGTGTCAAAACACATTATTGTAGTCCCCACAAGAAAAACAGCAACTGGACCAGACCTCACAGGGAGGGAAAACGGACAGAGGGAGCAGAGAGGTGAAAGAGTAAGAGAAAGCAAGAGAGGAAAATAGAGCACATAGATACTATGGATGAGAGAATATGTTAAATGATGTTAAACTGTTCAGTGTTTTCCTGAACTTGATCTACCACAAGAAAAAGAGCTTCTCTTTTTTTGTGGGACTGGCTGTTTCCAAACTCTGCCTGTCTGGTCCAAGCAAATTAGGAGCCCAAAACAAGAAACAAAAGCACTTGTGAGTCCTTCTGGATGGCAGCAATGGAAAAGAGATGCAATCATAATTGCTGAATATTACCTCAATATGTTGTTTCTTTCTTTTTCCCCTTTTTCCCCTTTTGTGTTGGATATGTTAACCTTGTTTCGGTTCATTTTCTAAAAGGTTTTTGTTTGTTAACGCCTCTTTCTCATGTATTGCAAGGTTTTTCTTCCTGCTTGTTTAAAGAAGCAGATGACCTCATCAGGCCATTCATTGGAATATATGCTGCTTAGCCTCCAGACTAAATGCTCCATTTTTCTGTTATTAGTCGCAGAAATATGGCGCAATGAATTGCTTCCAAACTGTTTAAGCGGTGAGTACACATTGCTATTATGCTCCACATGCCCCACTCCACCCCACCCAAAGGATGCATGGTCCAGTCTATCACTCTGAGCTCAGAGATAAGTCAAATGAGAGTGATACTCAGCAATGAACAGTGACACTTGGGTAAAAATCTCCCAGCGCTTCCTGGGGACTTGTAATCAGGTGTGCCGCATGCTGTCCACTCGACGTGCATTCAACACTCCATGTCATGCGCTACGTTTAGCCCGGTGTCACCACCAGCCTTTTACTGCTGCCAGCAGTTCACTTCCAAAGCATCATTCACACCCATCTCCTGAAACACCTCCTCACCACCAGCCTGACGCCTCCACAGCAGCAGTATGTAATTCAGTCGTCTGAGCAAGCAAGAAGAGACAGGGGCACTGGAGGCTGGTAGTCATCTAAATCTGTTAAGCCCTCCCCAAGGATGATTAAGTCTCCAGAAAAGGTGCATCGCAGCCTTGTCTTCGAATGAGCGAGGGAATCTTTTTGAACCTCTGTTGTGTTTTCTTGGAGATCCGTGACTCAGAGCATTATTAGTACACACACGCTACAGTTATTCAGCCCCTGCAGCCGCCCTTCACTGCCCCACCTTTTCCTCCCATTTGCTCCATGCAGAGACTCACATACAAAGCTACCAACACTGAGAGTCCTGGAACTACAGAATGAGCTCTGGTTTTAGAGAACACGCTGCTCAACAGAATCTGTATTTACACCAAATCGTGGCTCAGTGGATACAATAGCCAAAGAGATGGATAATCTGAACATGGTGCTCGAGTCCAGACTTAATCATGGGAACATTTTCAATTCAACACATTTATGCAGCATTTAAACCAGGGCACATGCTCACAGTGAGTTTCAATGGGGAGTATTCTAGTTTGGTGCAGTCATTGTACTGTTGATTTTTACCCTTCTTTGATTGCTAAGAGTATGTGGAAATGTAATACAGGAAGTAAAGAACCTGGAGGCAAAGCTGTGACCATATGAAAACCCCTTACTTGTCCATTATAAGAGAATGAGGGTCCTGTGAGATCTTAAAGGCTGTCACCCAGGCAAATAGGTCAGTGCAACTGGGCCAAAATCTGTGTAAGTGCATGGAAACTGAAGCTCAGTGTGATGGTCTGTGTCATCAGACAGCATGGGTGTCCGGCCAGCGGTCAGTGGGTCTCATTTGAAGAGAGCTCTAAGTGTGGGTGAGGGAGGGTGGAGGGAGAGGCAGAGGACAAGAGCTGAGTTGTGTTGCAAGAGCTGATTATGCGTGCCGCAGGGCTGGTTTCCTGGATGTTGTGTTTGTGTTGGAGTGGGTGGCTCCAGGCAGATGTTGCAAATGAAGGAGGCGCTGTTGTGTGTTGACGTTATGGAGGGAAATCATAGCGGAACACACCTGATTGATGTTTTTAGAGGTAAATATTTCCAATGAGAGCAACAAAATCCACTTGCCGCTGAGGCAGTAATATTCACAAGTCGTTACATGATCTGATGACCCCAGTGTGTTTCACCTTTTGGAAAAAATGACTACTTTGTGCCTGCAGCAGATAATAGGAGGGCAACAGATTTGGTTTTCTCTCACAATCATCCTTCCAGCTGTGCTCACTGCCCACACACAAACACACATCCATCTGGCCATGAGCGCAGAAACACTGCTTCAGCAGACATCAAATTACTTTTTTACCTTCCCAAAGCCATCTGCATACACAATCAGACACCTACAGACACAGGTAAGCTTCACACAAACACACAAAGCAAAGCATGGGAATGAAAATGAAAAGATGAAGACAGCTTATTATGAGATAAGAGCCGGCCATCGCCCCCAGCTATGTTTCAAGTATAAATTTAATAAGACTGCCTCATATTATGAAAATGCTCACTCGCTTTTTTTACTCATATAACTTCATATCTTAATTCTTATATTATGATGTAAGATCCAAATGCAAAAAAGCCGCTACCGTTATTTTATATGACAGGACCATTTATTATAACGCTGCTTCCATATGAGAACGCCTGGTTTGTTTGACGATGAGGCTCTAACAGACTTTGGATGTATCATTAAACAGAACCGATAATGCTGCGCTTTATAATAATTAGAAATTCATAAACATTTAGATACTGATTATTAGTTATTAATGACTAGACTCATAGCGCATTACAGAATTAACTACAGCAGGGAGACTGACTCCTTCATGCTGATCTCACTTTGAACACAGACGACTGTTGCTCAGCTAAAGTGTTTTAAGAACCGCTTTTTTAAAAGTAGAAAATGGTACATGGATTCTTTAGATGCGACCACAGTGAAGCAGAAAAAGAAACTCGCACTGAAGACATTCAAACTTGTGTCATTGCGCAACACACAGAGTCGGGTTGTCGAGCAAGCGTAAATCAGTTCAAATCCTCCCTCCTTTCGTTCCTTGTGACTGGTCGCTGCCTGTGTCAGTCAGGGGGAGGGGTACACCGCTAATTTCTATATGCTTGTATGTCAATTTAGGACTCAGACTGCCCTTTTTTCTGTGTGGCTGACAGCAGCAGGAAACCTCAGTGGACCTCCACTACCTCGGTTCTTGGATTTCTGCGTGTGTTTAACCAGATGAGACGCTTGGGACGCGCAACTGCTTGCTTAGATTGAATCATTGTCTCTGGATACTGGTGCCCCTTAAGACGCGTCCGCACACTTCTGTCTCGTGGTGTGTGTGTGTGTGTGTGTGTGCTTTTGAAGAGAGCTGCTGGGTAATAAATCGCACGCCCGAGGGAAAGCTCGTCACAAAACTTTTAAAGAGGGCTTGACAACTTTGGAGATACGAGTTCATGTGGCTGATCGCCTGACAGAAGCGGACAGTTTCTCTGGAAAACTTATAAACGGGGGGGGTTTCTCTTAAAACATGTTCTACAAATGCTCCGTGGTGTTACTGAATGTCCTCTTTCTCGTGCGTGCGCTTTCGGCTCACGAATGCACGGCGTGTAACCTCCGGACTTGTCCCTTTAAACCCCCGCTTGTCTGCGAAGGTGGTCGGACAGTGGCCAAGGATCCGTGCGGATGCTGTGATCAATGCACCCGGCTGGAGTGGGAGCCCTGCGGCGGCCAGGACTGGGCGCACGGCTACTGCGCCCTGGGACTGACCTGCGCCTCTGTAAACAAAACGGGAGCCGCCACTATCCCCGAAACTGGAGTATGTAAAGGTAAGTGGGACTCGGTCGTGTGAAGTCAGTTTAAATAAATGGCATTTTATTCAAGAAGTAACTTAATAGGAAAAGAGAGAAAATCTATTAGTGAGTGTGCAACCTTTCCCTTTTTTAGGCACTTGAAGCCATCACTTAAAAAAAACGTCATTGAGGGCCCGACTGCAGTGACAGTGTCACTGTTTACTTACTTCTGGCTGCCTGGAGCGCACATGGTGGCTGTTGCCAGACATTCGTGGTTAACGTCACTGAATGTTTTGTTTAGGCGTTTAAAACAAACTATGATCTTTTCCCGAACCTGATTTTTTTTGTTGCCTAAATTTAACCAAACCCTAACAAAAAACGTCATGTAATAAGAATAAAGCTTTCAGACAGAGAGCTTGAAGGCAACATTCTCCCACCAACACCTGGAGAAACCCCCCAGGTCAGAGTCGCTGTTGATTACATGTAGAGTAGTCCTGTTCAGCTGCTTTTTCTTCCCCCCCAGAGCTTCATTTCACTCTCATCTAAGAACCAATAACAATACACCAACAGTGATTTGGCACTACAATAGAAGAAGGTCCTGCTCGCTTTAGATTGATGAAAGGTGCATTTAGAAGTGATTTAATATACAATAAGAGATGTGACTATGTCCATGTGTGTGAGGGCAAAATTGAGGTTTACTAATGTCTTGACAAGAAATTGATTGTGTTTTAAAACCTGGAGTACATTTGAATGCAATAAATAAGCTGCCATTTTCCCGTCTCTTCTGTTTACACCACTGGCTTCATTGTGTTCCTCAGAGGTTTAATAGATTGACAGCGTGATTGCAAAAGTCCCCAGAAGATTTTCATTTGCAATTCTGTGAATTTCACAGTGCAGCACCGTACTATTCTTTCCAGGCAGAGCTGGACCTGGGTAACAGTGCATGTGCTCGTTTTGCGCACAGTTTGAGCAACAGTCTGAACTTCAAACATATGTATAGGGTATCAAGTTCCCCAGTAAGAACTGAGTTGGTAGCAGTGGCTTTATCCTGAGAAACAAATAACCAGTGGATGGGACCCCCTTTTACCTGCACTGTGTCTAGGATGATTGAAAAGGACTGAAAGGATTGTAGGAGAGAGCAAGCAGCTCTCAGTGGGGGTCTGGATGTCCTGACCCTGCTCTTCCATCATCCCTCTGTGGGGTGGTCCAAGTCAGAGCTCCACAAGAGTTTTAGAGGGGTCTCCCGCCTTTCCATTGGGCCTCATGTACAGGTTAGACTGGTGTCTGGAGGGCATTTCCTCTTAAGCTTTGGAATGAGCTGGAGACCTAGTGGCTCCTTCATTTGAGTCATGCCTCAGCTCCAGGGACCTCAGAGCATGCTGCTGACTCCAAATACAGACACATGTACACAGCCTAAATATCCCAAAGGATCTTGGCTGGGCTAAAGCAACACCTCCCAGTGTGTTTTCAGGGGCCACAGTAGGCAGGCTGCTGGAGGCTGATCCCAGATTTCCTTCAACCTGCAGCAGTCTTAAAGTGATTAGACCTGCAATCAGGAGTTGGGGGTAAAATGCTTCCGCTTTTCTGATCCCCTGCTTGTCTACTGACAGTCTGGATTTTCTGGGTGGTCAAAATCTGTTGGTGTGGAGACTCAGCAGCATTATAACACAGGTGACATGTTGCATGTTGTGACAGATGGTTACCATGGTTATCAATCAGTTGTTAATGTGTTATATTTGGTGTCCGGTTCCTAAACGAAAGCTGACACAGGCGCTGTACTACTGCTTTCCAGAAGTGGTATTGTTACAGAGACACTGAGATCCAAAAAGAAGTGGAATTTGCTGGTATTACAAATTACATTTTCTTCAAAGCAGGGGACGTGTTTCATATCATTCTTTGTTGCCAACAAATTTAACAGTTTTTTAAGGTACAATAACCAAAAGTAATTGCATGAACCCAGAAAAGTGTGACGCTTGCCAAAAACAATAGTAGTTATTACAATAAATTATTCTCATGACAGATTTTGGTATTTAAGCATTGAACCTGGCAGTTAGCACATAAAAGGTTGAACGCTTTGTGGATATACAGGTTCCATTTCTGACAAAACAAAACAACAATCCTCTTGGCCATTCGCCTTGTCCTATCTGCTTCGGTGGTCAGCCAGGTGAAATCAGCCATTCCTACCTAAATGAATTCTGTCAATGTTCTCATTTTATTCCCGTGTCTGTTCTTCCACACCGAGCTTCCTCATCCTTGAGAGACACTTAACATACCATGTAACGGAATGCCGGTCTTACAAGGACGCTATGTCCACTGCACCGCTTCACATACCTTCTACTTCTCCCTTTCTCTGGTATTATCTAACGTTTCAAAGACTTCCTTTATAGCTCGCTATCAGCCACAGGGCCTCTAGATGTCAGCTTTTCTATCCTGGCTCTGGACGCCAAGCCAAGCAGTCTCAGTGACCAAGTCAGGAATCCTCCTGGGATGAAGCCATAGGCTTTGGTTAGAGTCACGCCAGGCCAGATAACAGATGACCAGAACACATTAGTGTTAGGCTAAAGGAAACTGAGGCAGCCTTGCATTAATTGTTTTGAGTAGCTCCTTTTCCACATTTCAGATCTACCATTGCATGCAGACAGGCGCTACTACCATCTTAAATGAAAACACACTTGCAGGTACAGGAAATCCTCAGGATGGAAAAAATTCTTCAACTCAGGATCGTTTTAGGGTGAAAGGAAGTCAGAGAACGTTTGCTGTATTGAAAAGGCCATTTGTGCTCTGCCAGTTCAGTGGGCATGCGAGAGAGCTATTAACAGTGCTGGCTGGCTCAGGTTGAAGGTGCCTTCACTGCTTCCACTGGCCGAGGTTTACCCTAGCGCTCGAGAGCATCAGCCATTGCCAAGCAGTGATCGGCATAGCCCGCTCTAACACGGGGAAAGCATTTACTAGGACGCTTTCTTCTGCAGCCACATTGATTCACTTCAACGGTAAATTGTTTTATCACAGTAAGAGATTTTTCTTTTTCCCATTAATATGGATCAGCATATGTGGGCTATTATCATCTGCGGCATCTAAAAGCACAGTCGCGGAGTTCGGTTTCTTTCTAGTCACTTTGAGTCATCCTGTTATTGTTTCTCCTACCCCCAACTGAGCGTTACCACCACTCTCATTTACAGGCTTGATTTCAGGTAGGATCACTGCAGTAGTCAGGTAAACTATGAAGTGCTTATGTTTATGTTGGATAGTTGAACCTTTAACACCTTTTCCTCTGGCGCATTGTTCTGGTATGTAGCTGTTTGGAGAAGAAAGCCAGAGTATTTTGATAAGCTTCAGTCACACATCCACACTGCTAATTTGAGGTCTTTCAGTGCAATCTTGGGAAGGGGCCGCTCTGTGTTGGAGTTTATCTCTTCCTGTTTTCTGAGCAACCAATTCCTACTGCTTTTAAACTACTATGAGGGGAAGGTATTTTGAGATGTAGATGTGGGTTTTCTGAAAGGAACGCTATGTGTAATGTGTAGATTGGCACTCACTCTCAGTTATAAGTCGCTTTTATAATGTTTGATCCAAATTGAGGCCAAGTCTCGAGGTGCCATGTCAGGAGTGGGGGGTAAAGCTCCCTAGTAGAAGTAACAATGCGTGGGTATGGTGGCCTTAGTTCAGAAAGGCGTTGCAGCAGCCAGCAGAGATGGAAACCCTGGGAGGGCCCCATGCTGTGGAACAAAAGCAAACAAATGGGCTCAGTAGCTGAAGCAGCGTGGCACAATGAGGAGGGAGGAGGGATGGCAGCCCAGCAAACACACTGGTCAGTTCAGTATCTGTGGTGCCCACATAATGTGTCGCAACAGATGCTGCAAGCTGGCTAACCCTTAAGCAGTTCTGGGAAATATGGCTTGGTTTCTGGCACATTTTGGCCTGATAAAGTTTCACCTATAAATCTGTCCAGTATTTATTTATCCATTTTATATGGGACTAAATGGAGTCATAAGCTGATTACCACATGAACTACAGACTTCATCTTGGGAGAATACAAATTTAAGATCGGATATGAGACCTGTATTAATTCTGTGTGAGGGGCCGTTGTGTTGATTTGAGCCAATGGCCGAGGTAATGGTCTAGCAGATTCATGCATAGTGGGTAGTCACACTTGTACACTCTGGTTAAGCAGCTTCCTAAACCATGCAAGGTATTTCCAGGAGTAAGAAAGCAGCCGAGGCAGACGTCTGCTGTAATGACATTTTTCAGAGTTGTGTGAAAACAGCTAATTCAAGGTTTTTCCCTTTGTCTTACTTAGATTTTTTTACTGTCACTGTTATTTCCCACAGTACTGCCTGACTATCCAGATGCAGGTCTTGAGGATGAGCGCTGCCCACTGATGACAGGCTGCGACAGAGCAGGAGGTCAATGTGTCTGTGATGCCCGTCACTCCTGCTTGGGCTCTTTTACCTACCCAGACCAAGAAACCTGCATGAAGGCCAGTAAGTCAGGTAAGTCCTCTCTCTTCATCCCTTTCCATGTTAAAAGGCAGATGTGTGTTGCACGAGCACAGAAAGCCTTCAGAGGGGATAATGCTATCTATTGAGAGGAGTTAATCCATAACAGATGTGGCTCTGAGGTGGCTAATGCTACTTGGATGTCATAGTGATGACACACATGCTAAGGCTTTGTGTTGCGGTTCCCCACTCACCCTTGAGTGGTGCCATTGTCTGTGACTCATTGATGAATGCGGTTTATGCGTGTTCACGGCCGGATTTCAGATGGTCGGAGGCACGAGCACCGGGAAAAGCACAGAGAGAAGTATGTGGGACCATCCAACCCAGCCTGTATGTTCTCTGGCTGTAACCTGACCGCCGAGGGCTGCGTGTGTGAGTCTCAGAGCTGCCACCACCACTTCGCCTACGTCAACCGCAGCCAGTGCCAGGAAGCTGCAGGTAACCTTCAGATGACCCACAATCACACAGTAGCACTGCTCAGCTCGGGTTACTTGGGGTTTTTTAAATAGCGTCTAAAACAGTCGAGTTACATTTGGATTGCAGTATTTAATAATTATCTATTTTTAATGAACATATTTATAAACTATAGGCTTATTCTGGGTGAAACACAACCGCATCATTCTTCATGTTCCGGCTCGTTATTATGGCTAAAATAAAGAACTGTAAACATTCAAAATTCTGTCTTCCAAAGATTAAATGCACTTTCTGTTAGAGTATTTGCATATTAGTTACATATTTGGTGTCAGCTTTCATTTCACAGTCTTCTTGAGCAGTTTCAATAGGCACAGCAAAACTCCACTGATTATGAGAGCAGGAAAAGTAGAGGAGGGATGAGGGAATGTATCAGATTAGCCTCAGATGCCGTGGAAAATGATGTGGAGAGTGAAACAAAGAAGGTGCAAATCTGACAGAAGGAAATACAGGGACTGTTAATAGAAATGTGGTGTGCAGGAGATCCTCAGGTGCAAGGCAGAGTGCATAAAGTGTAAGTGAACTGAGTACGATTGGTTCCCCAGTGCTCTGAGGTGAAGAAAGGGGATCCTAAGAATATACAAAACGTGCCTCTCTCTGTGATTGACACTTTACTAAGTGGAAAACGTTCTTGGCAGAGTGAGTGCAGTTTTCTCGTTTGGATTGTAAGGTGTGCGGCAGATAGGCAGGCGCTAAGTGTCGGCTGCCTCCTGAGTGACATTTGCACTCGGGGAACTGTTTGTGTTGGGTAGAACGTGTCCTCCGTAATCTGCTTTTCAAAGACAGAAAGCAAGAAAACATGAATGACACCTGAAGAAAAATAGTCTTGATGGTTAATGGACTGGTACTTTTCTACTCAAAGCACTTTGTTACCGCAATCCTTACTCGCCCATTCATACAAGTGCTTTATTTTCTATGCTGAAGCACTTTTAACTGAACATGTACACAATCAAATTCACATGGATTGATCAGGGGAAACTTAAGGGTCAGTATATTCCCCAAGAATATTTCAGGGTTGAATCACCAACCTCCCAGTAAGTCAGGGGTGGGGGACCTCCAGGCCTCAAAGGCCGGAGTCCTGCAGGTTTTAGATGTTTTCTTGATCCAACACAGCCGATTTAAATGGCTAAATGACCTCCTCAACATGTCTGTAAGTTCTCCAGAGGCCTGGTAATGAACTAATCATTTGACCCAGGGTGATACCTAAAACTTGCAGGGCCCTTAAGGCCTGGAGTTCCCCACCACTGCAATAAGTAGACAACTTGCTCTAACAGTTATGGCCTGTGACTGTGTTACGAGTGACTGTGCTTTTTTTATGTTGCTCTGCTCTGGTTCTCACTCAATCTCTTTGCAGCTTGCTGATATTTTTGGTGAGGAATGGCTCTTAGGATAGACAGTACCGTGGTTGGCAACACGCCATGCAGACATATTTAAGTTTATTTAGTCTCCGGATAACATTAAGGTTACTGCCGAGCATCTACAGCACAGCTGCGTGGATGTTTGTCTTGAGCTATTTATGCAGCAGATTCCACAGGAAGTGTGTTCACCAAATATCAGATTGTTTAGACGTATCATCAAGTCTAGTGTTTCAATGAAAGACTGCCTGCTGCGCTCCTATGTTTGCAACTCGCTCATCAAAGTATGAGCCCAGCAGATGATGGTTTAAACTCGCACTAGTGAAAACTGTAAACAACATTTTTCAGCAGCTTATGACTTCAGCACTGCAACACACACCCACCCGTCTAATGGCCCCTCATTAAGTAAGCGAGCAGAATACGTGCTTCTACTATGACTTAAAGAATACATGTGCATGTAGAGCGATGCACACACGTCGACGTGTCCTTCAAGCGCACAGTGAGCCTTCGAATGGGAGCAAGTAAGCCTGCGTGCTTGCATCTGTGTTTGCGCATGTGTCTGTGTGTGATAATTATCTTGTTTGTCTAGATGTCGCGGCAGAGATTTTCCTTTGTCTGTCATCAGCAGGAGCTTCCTCTACGACCAGACCGGGACTCTGTGGTTAAGATCCTGTTTGCTTTGTCCCGTTGGGCTCCATGGAGACTGTGTCTATCAACCCCTCGTTGCTTTAGACACAAGCAGCTATTAAGATCTGTGTAAGCATGCCCCTCTGGAGTGTGACAAAAACTGTATTCTGTAAACTTAATCTCAGGGTACAAGAGCACCACTGATCGCTCCAGTCGCCACAGCGCCAACAATAATACTTATGATGGTGCTAAACATAGAATATCCACCTCTAGGGGTCACTGTTGCTATGCAGTAGCAACGCAATGGCCATTCCGAATCCCAAAGTAGTTGCACTTTTGTTTCTGCGTCCGACTTTCTTTCATTTCCGCCACATGTGGAGCAACAGGTGCTCATGTCTGCCTTCGGGATGATCTGCTGGAGAAACTGCATGATCTCGATCCCCGGACCTCCAGTTCTGGGTGCGACTTGATGCCAGGAGGCAGAGGAGAGGACGTCAAAGCAAATGTGCAAAGCGGTGTTTGGTTGAAAACAAACCGCAGCTGCTTGACTTGCATGTTAATCTTGCTCTTCAGTGGTCAAATGCCCAGAGTTTCACTTCTTGTTTTTAATCCTTCAACACAAATGACAAGAAAGAATCACAGATCGTACAGAAGAATAATAAGATCTCTGGGCAGCTCTGCCTTCGCTTCTAGTCACATTGAACGGAGGACAGACTTGATGCTAGAGTACCTCTCTGTCCTATCCTGAGCTGCAAAGTGTTATTGTGTGAGGTTAAAAGGATACATAAATGTCAGGGTTTTTTTAATGTTAACTGTTTTTAAAAGAATATTCTCACACATTCCATCTTTAAAGCAGACGTCATGTCTCAGCACTTAAAGAAACACTCTTTGCCTTTCCTCAGAATTTATGTTCTCGTCTCAGGACCTGTACACTCACACATGGTAATAGTTTGTCTCGTCCTTCTTTTGCTTTCTGCTGCTCTCTGACTCATACTGTGGTCTTGTCTGTGACTCATCATGATCTGTTGAAATTCAACATCTTTCTTGTTTCACGGCTGTTGATGTTCCATTTCCTAATCGCACCTCTTGTAGATTTGCTCTCCTGCTGGACTACAAAACACTGATGTAATTTGGCTGAATATGATCAATTAGAAGCAACGCGGTGTGTCAGACTTATTTCCCCATGTGGGAGGAAAGACGATGCGACGTGTGATAGAGAGGGGAGAGGAAATGCAGACGCAGAATAGGAAGTCACAACTTAGTGCAACCGCTTTTCTGAGATATTTGTGTCCCTGCCCCAAGGATCTTGGTCATGTGATGTTTAGCAAATTTCAACTTTAGGATGGTTTACATAGTTCTTTCACGATAAGGTTCCTGAGTGGTTTTTTTAGAAGAAGAAGCAAGATTCCTCTGCACTTGTTTACTGATAGAAACTAGCACCAGCAATCTCTGCATTCTGTAAGTCAAAAGCCAAAACCAGTCTGTGCTGTAGCAGTCAAGCCATCTAGAGCTGCTTTCACCGACGAATTCCCAACAATTTTTGGAGAACTGTGCAGGGACAGCGACCTTGTCCTTTCTGACAAGCAGCGCTCACTGGAGATAGTTTATATCAGCTGCATTCTTTCTACTGAAAATAGTTTGGCTAAGTTGAGAATACTGCCTGGGAATGGTGCAGAGATGGCGTGACATAGGATGACCACTTGTGAATCACACATGGACTTTGTAGTAGGGAGCTGGCTGCTAAATGATGTCCGATCCAGCTACACTGGGCATTCGTTTTCTCACACAGGCGTTTGTGGGATTGTGAGGAAAAACGAGAATGTGTGTAGTAGTTCACAAGCGGTTAACCAAATTGGCAGCATCCAATCTAATGCCATGGCACAAACTGGCCTCACTCTCGCAAATCTGCTTGTCCACCTGTGCCACCTCCATCCTGCCTCTCTCTACACTTGTAGAAAGAATGGTGGTTCTGCTTGGCTGCAGCTTCTTTGTGGCAGGGCTATTACTGGCTGAGCCAGACCGCCATCGGCTGGCAGGGGCCACGAGACGTCTCAGTGCTGAGTGTTTGTGCACCGTCTGCGGAAGCTGTGGCCCGGTTGTACCCTGCAAGCTGCTAGTTTCCCAGCGAGTGCTTATTTCTGTGTGCGGAGACTGATTTCAGAGAGGAAATAAAACTCCTGTGTAGCTGGAGAGACAAAGAACTTCCCTTAAAGGCATGTTGGGATTGCTGTCAACCCACTCACTATTCTTGGTCAGCCACTAACCAAACCAGGCACATTAAGCCAGCATGAAAGCCAAAGCCAAAATACATGCACGCACACACACACGCACACAAAGAGCCTTTCTGCATGTCCAGCTCTAAACCTCAACCCATTAATTAAATCAAGGCCTAAAACCTCAGCTTATTGACTCAACCATAACTATTAACAAATCAAACACGCCCCGACCCAAGCCTCAGTCAAATCCTGATGTTCCCAGGCCCGTTTCTTTCATCAACACTATTTTGCTTTTTTCCCCTGAAAGAGAAGATCTCTAAGGCAATAGTCCATAAGTAACCCTCATGTCTCTGTCACAGTTTATTTAACAAATGTGTACAACCCAGATCTCCCACACACTTCTTTTCAACAAGACTAAGACTGACGGCTAGAACACATAACATGATAACATGATCCTTTCCACTGCTTTATGTTCAGTACCCAGCATAGGCTTTGTACGTACAAACATGCAGTATATGAAAATACGGATGTGCAAATGTTGGACACAGGTGGACATTCTCTTTAGCTCACCCAAGCACACTCATTTGAGGTTTTTCATCTGCAAATATTTAGCCAATGATTGAGAGAACAAAGCAAGCAGGCAGCACATGGCGGCTGCGTGCCTATACCCAGCCACCTCAAGCCTCTGATCATGGTGTCAATTTCCTGACCCCGTCTATGTCTTTTGGCTTGGACATCCTCCTAGAGCTGCTCCTCGATCCTTACACATGCACTGACACACACAGCGAACAATGCCGACTTTCTCAGTAACTGCTGGTGGGCACCGGGCCAGGCCCCCACAACTTTACGTGAGAGACGGCCCTGATGTGTCCCTTTGCGGAGCAACTTTATAAAACCTGAGGACAGACCAGAAACCCACGGAGGGCAGCTGGACTGAGACAGCTTTGTTCTCAGCTGACTTGTTTCCAAAGTCAGTCAGCGAACAGAACTCACATTGTGTGCTTTTTTCCATGAGTAAACTCAGGCTGTCAACACAGCCTCCTCTGCCTGCTCGAGCCACTCGGGTTTGGGTAAAGACTGCGCTCCTTGTACCCCGCACTTGAAAGGAAGAGAAAAAAACAACATTTAGAATGAAAGATTTTTCTTTCTTCAATGAGCTGCACCAGAATGCATTGTTTACAAAAGGCACCCTTCAGTAGTAATGAGGTAATTTCCGCATTTTCTTTACTAGATCAACATCAGGTGTGGTGTGAGCCTGCATGAAGGTGTGTGTGTGTGCATGAGAGAGTGAGAAAAATCGCATATTGTTGCAGGCTGTTCATATGGGTCAGACATTGTCCAATCTTTGTTATCTTACAGTTGTAAAAGAGCATATGTTACCTAATCTGCAGAGAGAATTTATCAAGCCTACCAAATCAGTGCTTTTGTGTATGTGCAAGCTGGAGTATGGCCACCATTATGATACAAATACTGGTTTTGCGGTCGCTGACTCGCTAATTACAGCCATTTATGCAAAGAGATAGAACACAAACAACGCTGGATAAAATCCATTTACTGCTGACTTTTTCCATCCGCCCTGTCTGTCTATTGTGTTTATAATTGTGCCAGCTAAAAATTGTATTAATTGGACCTGCAAGAGTTGGACCATTTCCACTGATGGACACAATTCCATTCATTTAAATTACAATGGTATGTCTGCCAGCTGCTTTTCCCAGCGCACTCTAACCCCAGCCATTATCACGACCGAAAGAGTAATCACCCTTCTCTGGGGCACATACAATGCATAGAAAGTGTTTTTCAGTGCAGAACTATGTGCAAAATTGTCCCAGTGCATTTTTTTTACAGCTTTAAAAAGCTTGAGGCTTTCATATGCAAAACTGGTCTTTAACTGAGCAGCCTGCGTTAGACTTTATTGTAAGTAAAACATTTGCCAATCAGCACTTCCAACTGAAGTTTATTTAACTCCAGTATAGGAATTAAGCCAAAAACCGTTAAATGGGTTGTAGCCTCCCTTAATTCAGGGGTTTTCCCTCATTTTCTATGACACTATTCAGCTACAAAGTTTATCAATGAGAGCTTTGTGGCACTCCTCACTGTTCCCAGGTTGCTTGAGTAAACACTACAGTACAGATACCTAACACTCCTGCTCTATTTATCCGGAGCCAGAAAAATTCAATGTTCCCCTTATCCTCAATTTCATGTGTCAGTTATGTTACCCCCACACACCAAAATAGAGCTCTCACAGTCTTAGAGGGCCTCTCCTCCATGTTTATTCTTGGTCAGGCAGACATCAAACAGTTACTTAACGGCACTGCCGTCAGAGCATCATGCACGCTTGTTTTCTTGATTTGAGGACCGGCAAAGTCAAACCACTATCAGAGCATGAGCAGACTGGAAAGTAACCAATCAGTTTCCCCATCTGGTGGCAAAACTCAGAGGGAGTTTTCAAATGTCAGTGATGAAGCACATCCTCTCAGAGACTCGTGTTGCGCTTTGGAGTCAGCACCCGTCTGGGAAGACCATCAACAGAACTGTCTCTCTGGAAACATTACCAAACCCCAAGCATTGTTATGCAACCTCAGCCAGTATCATTCCCTCTCCTCAAAAACCAGATGTATGCAAAGATTGCAAAGCATTTCTCATAAATAAATCATAGTCCTTCATTTTAACGTTCTTATAAGGCACTTATTTATTTACACGTTTTCTCCTGCACTTGTTAATACTGCGTTTACACACTTTTCCCCAGGAGATCTGGGAAAATAACTTTTGGGACCCAACATGAGTCTGCTTTTCACAAAATATCTCTTCCACCCTATGTGTAAACATTACAGGGACACTGAGGACCAAAATAAACATATCCATTTGGCCTCAGTCATCCACGTCTTGAAAGGTAGATACTGTTCTCCTAAAATGCAGTATCTGTTAAGAGGGGCACTTTTCTTTTCCTGAACAGGTTCCAGAATACACTCCTCCCCCAGTTTACCAGTAACCCTGCACCTCTTTCCCCTCTAACAAGGGGTATCAAATCTATTACACTGACTCTGGCTGATGAGTTAAAAACTGCATCCTGGTATTCTAAATGAAGGAGAGATTCAAAATTGGAAAAAAAAATCTCTGGTAAAGATTGGCTGCTATTAATAACTGGTTTTAGAATGCAAGGTTCTGTTTGGATTGTAAGCCATTTAAACCAGGCAAGGTGGAATCTGAAGCCCATAGGCAAGATGTGCAGACCCACCAAACATATCCATGTGGGCCCTCCGGAGGTAGTTGTGGGACTGTGTGAACAGGGCAAACCCACACATGGTCCATATGGGCCCCAAGTGGGTGGGCTCATGTAGACTAGTACATGTGAGTAGCCCACTGTCAGCTGCCTGTACAATTCAATTTCAATTCAATTTTATTTATACAGCGCCAAATCACAAAAACAGTCCCCTCAAGGTGCTTTATATTGTAAGGTAGACCCTACAATAATACATACAGAGAAAGATCCAACAACAGGGGATTGGCGACAGTGGGAAGGAAAAACTCCCTTTTAAGAGGAAGAAACCTCCAGCAGAACCAGGCTCAGGGAGGGGCGGGGCCATCTGCTGTGATTGGGGTGAGAGAAGGCAGACAGAATAAAAGACATGCTGTGGAAGCATACAAACCAATGTGGTGCCCATAGCAGTTTTGCAGGTAGGTCACTGTAGGTGAGGAAATTCTGTTGGTAGCCCACTGTGGGCTGCCCGTAGCATACCCATGTGGGGGCCACAGCAGTTTTGCCTTTTACCCATTGCTTTGTGGTGTAGTAGTTATAAATTTCCCTGGAAAGAAGATTCCCAGCTCAAACTTGAGTAGGTTATGTCAGGAATGGGGTAAAAATCTAGTGTGAAAATCAGCAAAAGTCAAATATGTGACAGTAACTGCTTTGGCTACTCCTTGTTATTAATGGACGTTTTAGTCCACAACTAAGACCAATTGGTGGCAGCAACGTAGCAAGGGGGACATGTGGGCAGTGCACCCCATGATCACAGAGGACAGCCAACAACTACTGTATGTGCATACTGTGGGTACATTACAAGCCTACACTGTGGGCCTTGTGGATTTGCCTAAAGTGGCGTCAAATGTACCCCAAGGTGGCATGTTTTGGGGAGAGCCTTGTCATGTGTAGAGAGGGGCCTTTGCTTCTCTGACAGGATGCTATAGAGCTGTCGTGGACTAAAGTGGGGCTCTGACTGCACAGTTTATGTTGGATGGCTATGTGAGCTCAGCCATTAGTCTGCCACACTAGTAGCATAGTGGCTCATGTTGGTAGCAATCACACATAATTGCAGCTAAACCTTCCACCTTAGCCTAGCAAAAATTTGCTGACAGAGTCAAACCCCGTGTCCATTTCACTGTGTTAACTCATATGCAATAGAGTCACCAGTGTCTAAACATGAATGCGAGTCCATGTTTGTGTGTGTGTTTTTGTTTTTTACAGAAGAGCTGAGGTGTGCTGGGGTGACGTGCCCCAATCTGCAGGTGCCTTCCTGCCCCGAGGGTTCAGTCCTCACCAAGAGCTACAAGCCTCCTGCTGAATGCTGCCCCTCCGTACCACCCCAGTGCACTTGCGACTTCAGTGCCTGCCACAAGCCCCAGTGCCCGAGCGAACAGCACCCCGTTTCACTTGGTCAAGCCAGCGGTCAGCCAGGAGACTGCTGTGATGTCTACGAGTGTCAGAAAGGTAATTTCACTGATGAGCAAGCTACACACTGCTCTTGCTCCAACAATAGCAATTTCACAGTTGATGTGCAAATTATTTTGTTCAATATTTTGCTTTCTTTTTGTTTTTTTGTTGGGTTTTTTTGTAGACGCAGTCATTTCCTCCTCCTCTGTGAGCTAATTTTTTAAGGGAAAATGAAAACTCTTAATTGGATAACTGCTGTCGGGCTGTTTATCAGGCTGGAGCAATGCTTCCAACTGGTTTTCCAAGACATTTTTAGGGGTGTACATACAAAAACGTTTAATTCCTAAAGGGTTATTAGATATAACGTCTTCTTCGTCTATTTCCTCACTTGGGTATTAAAAAGAGAGAGTGACGTGGTAGCAGGCGAGCAGATGCTGAATGCGCGTGAGAGTATAACACGTCTCTGTCGTGAGGCAGAGGCAGCCAGGAGCGCTAGGAAGGCAGGGAGGGGACCTGCGGTATTGGTCTGTTTACTCTGCACGCCCAACAAATATTCACTGTTTTACCAACAGAACAAATTCACATTCTGGCCCCTGCACATGTATAAATGAGTGCTGTGTCCCAGAATTAATGGTCTTAACAAGCCCGGTGACCAGAAAAGTGCTTAGGCTATGAATTTGCTCAACAGAAGTGCAGTGTCAAAGGGTTCCTGTCTGGTCACACGTCCAAAGGGAAAAGGTTCATAAGTTCATTGATGGGAATGCTTTTTATGTGCTCCAGTCTGCCAGTGGGGAGGGTAATCGAGTCCGGCAGGCCGGCGGGGGCTGAATGGCAGCCGTGGGGGCCATGGGATCAGTGTTTTGATAACAAGTGTCTGCTGTTCTTTGGGTCAGGGGCTTGATGCCTTTTGTGCTGCTCCTACTGTCCGTTAGGCTTGCATGACTGCATGCCGTGTCAGAAAGCTCCACAGGCAGGGACAAGGACACGCACCGGAGCCCTCGTCAGTTCCACAGTCCTGCATAGGCCTCCGTAGCACTCACTACAAATGCAGAATCTTAAAAAAGACGAAGAAAGTGTACTTTATTGGTCCCCGTGGGGAAAATCGCTCTCTGCATTTAACCCATTCACTCGGTGAAGCAGTGGGCAGCCATTGGGCGCCCGGGGAGCAGTGTGTAGGGACGGTACCTTGCTCAGGGGTACCTCAGGTTAGCTGTTCAGGGGAATCGAACCCCCGACCTTCCGATCATGGGGCCACCACTCTACCTACTGAGCTATCCCTGCCCCTAAAGTCTTAGGTAATGTCAAGTACAAAGCCTATCGTCTAATGGAACACATTTCAGCATGCCCTTGCAGTGTCTCTGTGTGAGGCTTGGACTGATTATCTTGTTTCCATTGCCCACTTGGCTGAGGACTGATGTTTAGTCAGGGTTAGTGTGTGCAGTGACAATAAGCTCCACCTGTGTGTTTTGGCCTCGTCAGCAACGGACTCTGCTTCTTCATTGGCTACAAAACAGCAAACCTGGCAGTAACATCCTGACCTGATGTCATCTGATATTATAGAGGACCCTGTTTGATCCTGTTTATCAACACTTTGCCTGGCACATATTTTGCATATGTCCCCAGCGGTGGATCCGGAGTAGGTTTAGTGCTGTTGAGATTTCTGGAGATGTTAAGCAATAAGGCTGAGATCACCGCACTAATCGTTCTTTGGAAACTTAGCTTGACTTTGTTGTAAACACACAGCCAAAAGCATCCATGTCCTCACAGCTTGACAACTGTTTGTGTTGGTGACATGAGATATACTCATATTTCTGCTTTGCAATTTGAGTTTTCAAAGCTGATGACTGTAAAGTTGATTTTAATAACTCCCATAATTGTTTGTTTCTTGGAAGTTGAGTTTTTGCCTTCATATGCCTGTAAACCACAAGAGAATGACAGTCCATTATGAATGATTTAGAAAGGCTTACTAGCCAATGGATTCATCTCTGCATCCAGTCCTCACCTCAATTTAGAAAAGACTGAACATCACCAAGCATGACTGGAATTTAGACTCTCTGTGCCCCAAGTTGTTTTAGGGATTACCATTAACAAACATTGCGGAAATCACATGTGAGCATCTCCTCATGTGACTTCCTATTGCTTCTGTGAGCGTTAAAAACTCGTTGCCTGCCTTTTGATTTTGGGCAGCTAAAAGCCCTTAGTGCATTTTCTTCACTTAGTTCTGCTGCACGCAAAGGAGGACAGCGGGAATACTGAGCGATAGGGGAAGGGGGGCTGGAAAATGGCAAGGAAGAGAATAAAAGTTCACCAAATCCCTGCTCCACTTTCAACTCAGCTGGCACACCTGATTTGTATTAGAGTGCAGTGCTGGTTGTCAGGAGGCATGGGGTCATTGGCACAGACACTTTGACTCAAAGGTATGGCGTACAGATGCTGCCGTAACCTCTGCTCTCATTTATAGAAACCACTGCCCCCACATCTGCTTGCATTTGTCCAATACATTTATTCACATAACTAATCCACCTACTCCTCTATACAGACTTTCTTACATAACCACATTGTTTCACTTCCCTCATGTTGGCTTGTGTTAGATGAAAAGCTTGTGGCTAGATAAGATCTTTGAATGTTGAGTGACCCAAGCGACTGTGATACATATAAATGTGTAATATTACCATTGAGATGTCATACCTCAAAAATTCTTAAATTGAGTATTATTATCTATATTTGCTATTTCTTCAGAATTGTGGTTATTTTTCAGCATTTCTTGTTACATGTTATTTCATAGCAAAAATTGCAGAGATTCCCAGCCATGTTCTGGGTGTACTTCCGCAGTAGCTCAGGTTTATGTCGAACTCTGTTTGGGTAGAAAAGTTAAAATTACTAAAATAATAGCTAAGCAGTTGGAAACACCCAAAAGTGATACAAAATTTAAAACAAAAATGGATAATTAATGGGGGAGATGTTTAAAAAAGTTAGCTAAACCTATGGTTAATAGCTAGCCACTAGCCAGGCTAGTGGCTAAATTTTAAGCTAATATATATAATATTATGAGTCAAAATAGCTAGGTAAAATTATAAACAGCACAAATTCACCTTAACCTAAACATAACAGATGAGCAGTTAAACTGGTCAGTAAGGGTCATGATATAATTAGCTGTTAAATACTAGAGTAGTAGGCTAAAAAATATATGCTAAATAGCTGACATTTATGGGTCATTGATAATTGTGGGATGAAAGGAGTCTGGATTCAATTTAAAATTACTTCAGTTCAACACATTTGAAGATTAGACATGTTGGTAATGAGAACGTTGCTCTTTCAGGGGAAAAAACACTGAAGACCACTGACCAGTTAGCATGTGAACAGTATTCAGAGCTAGTTGACTGTGCACAGGATCAGAGTGCAGTTTTCCAATGTTGCTGCAACTAAGCTAATTCTTTTCAAGGTTTGGCTAAATCCAGCCAACAGAGTCTAAATGCTTGGATGCTTTGTGGGAATGGCAGGCCAAATCATTGATTCACTCCACCTGCCACCAGCACGCTGCGCCCAGCTTCTGCCAAAACGTCAGACCCACCACTGCTTTCTTTTAGTCTGCATGGCAAGAGTCCAGAGCCATCTCAAGACTGGATAGGTCCCTGTGAAATTCCTCCTCCAGTTTCATTGTCTGATAAATACCATTTTTGCCCCATGGGGCTTACCTCACCCATCAGTCTACCGCAGCACCATTTGGTTCAGATAAATATTACTATCAGTAGTAGACAATGAACAAATGTTTACGAATTTGTAATTAATTGTATAAACTTGTGATAACCTCTCACTAATCAAGCTTGACGTGTCTATTTTTTTAAAGGCATTGTTCTCTGGTGGATCTGATGAAATTATTCTGGTGTTAATCTTAGCCAAATGTAGGACAGCTGACACAGCGTAGTGCACTCGTTTATTAGAGTGTATTGTCTTACTCAGATGGAGTCCAGCTTAAGGTTGACAGCCTGTGTCTGATTTTTCTTTCCCTTAGTCACTCCCAAGTGTGTCCACAGTGGGAAAGAGTACTCTGAGGGAGAGGTGTACCGCATGGACCCGTGCTGGCTGTGTCAGTGCCGGGGAGGAATCTCCTTCTGCTCCAAGGCAGAGTGTGCTGAGCTTAACTGTGAAAACTTCTACATTCCTGAGGGAGAATGCTGCCCCGTCTGCATAGGTACACACATTTGCTTTATTATTCAGTTAAACTGTGTCACCTTTCGCTGATTATTACACTGTTAAAACTGGTAGCCGTAGACATGGTTGTGCCAGAGGTTTCTTCCTGTTAAGAGGGAGTTTTTGCTTCCCACTGTTGCCAAAGTGCTGCTCATAGGGGGTCATATGATTGTTGGGTTTTTCTCTGTATGTATTATTGTAGGATCTACCTTACAATATAAAGCACCTTGAGGCAACTGTTGTGGTGATTTGGCGCTGTATAAATAAAATGGAACTGAATTGAATGGTGGCATCGACTAAAACGCCTATATGCCCAAATGATGGGAAGAAAAGATGATTCAGCAGCAGTGAAGGCGATATTAAGACCTACTTTAATGTCTTTCTCACATAACCAGCTTTCAGAGTCATTAACATACCTGACGAAAAGCGGTGCAACAAAGAGTCATCCCCCAGTCTTTTTCGCTGGGGAGATTTAAAAACACAAAAACCTTTTTTCACTGTGTGCGCCGCAGCTCTGTAAGATCTGGATCGTGGTTAATGTTTAAAAGAAAAATGGCCTCGTATGGCAACCACATTAGTCTGCCAGAAGCCTGTGGATGGAGACGGTAGCCTTTGGCCTCTGACTGCGTGGCTACAGTCGATCAGATGCATAAAAGGAGGAGTGGGGGGGGAAGACGAAGAGAACGAGTGCAGAGGAGAAATCATGTTAGGTCAGTGTTAGAGGTACAGCTGGAATGTGCAAGCATTTAGAAGGCATGGAATGCTTTCATCTTTTGTTTATGGAAATCTGTACTTTCTTACTGCACTGGATGCAATACTTAATCTAGGTGAAAAGGTAAGATTTTCTGTGTGTGATGATAAAATAAAGAACCTTGAACCTTGAAACCTTGAACCTTGAACCTTCTCAATCAATGTTTCTTTATAAACAAAGGATAAAAGGACCCATTTGAAATGGAAAGCTATGAATGCGGGTAAATTAAGAAGCAAGTTACCAAAAGAAACCTGGGAGCCATTGGTATTTTACCTCATCTTTCATACAAGACTGTTCGAAAATTTGCTTAGGCTTGGAGTCTGTTTAACAGAAGGAAAGCTGGATTTTAGGGGGTGTAAGAGACTGGACTGTTGCAGCGCGGAGACAAACTGGATAGCTTGGGCTCTGCTGCATCGCTTAACTCTTTTTCTTCTTTTAATTCTCCAGTTTCATGCATCTGAAATGCTAAAACAGACAGAAAGAATCTTTAAAAACAACGGTTGGAGGTGTGTGGGGCTACCTGCGTTTCATTACGTGGTACAACAGAACAGATTTGCTGGTCCAAAATTTAGAATTGCTGAGGTCACAGGGTGCAAGAGGGGGAGCCAAAAAGTTTTGTCTGCCCCACAGAAGCGCCTCATGGAATTACCCCAGCTTCCACTCAGTAATGCTACATAATGTTTGGTTCTCAAATCTGTTGATATTTAAAGGGAACCGTGACAAAATTATAAAATTGGCTGTGGCGCGAGCACAGGGACTATGTCAGTGGAAAAGGAAAGAAAAAGTCCTGTTCAGGGTCATTACATCCGACCTCAAACACTCAACCTCTCAAACTCAACTGGGACAACAACATTAACGTTTTCATACTTTCACCCCGTTTTAAGGCTGATGGGAACGGATCCCAAATTTCCAAAAGTGCTTTCTTTGCTTTGGAGTAAAATTTACATGATGAAATGATTTCTCAGCTATTGAATGAAGGAATGCTTTTACCCCATTATAATGCACATTGTGGACACTGTGGACTGTCTTTCTGATGTGAACCTAAACCCCTACGCAACGCTTGTCACAACGCCAGGAGCCTTTCTCCATTTATAAATGTAAACGAGTCATTGACATTCATCAGTGTTTTCTTCATATCTCTTGTTTAACTCCTTCATTAAGTATCCAATTTACCACAGTTAGGCTCTCACTTGTTGTTAATACAAACCCAGTACAGGATCTGAGAACCTGAGCTAAAAATGATGTCAGCCTTTCTTTCCTTCGTACCTAAACCCACACTGTAAACATCTCTTTCTTTCCTCTCAGATGTGTCAATGGCTAGCACCGAGGCCAGCTGCTGGGTGAATAATAAGCTGCGAGCCCACGAGGAGCAGTGGAAAGAGGATGACTGCACCTTCTGCCAGTGTGTGGATGGCGAGCCGCACTGCACAGCCATGGCCTGCAAACAGAGTTGCCACAACCCGGTGAAGATCCCCGGAGAGTGCTGTCCCTTCTGTGAAGGTACGGTATGCAGAGTTGTGTTGTCCTTCAAATGAGTTACGCATTAGCACACATACCAAATGCAGGGCACTCCTGCGTCCCTGCAGCTTTTCTACAGAGCCCACTCAACATGGGCTCATTAAAGGGGGAGGCCACAGTTGTCCTGGTTCAATCTCTGTCTGCCTCTGGCTCCTGGGGGGCGTTATTGTGGCTTCCCACCCTCATTATCAAGAACATTTGTGACACACGCTCTCTCGCTCTCTCTCACACTCACACTACAAAAACATTTGTTGATTTATGTATCTGTGCATTGTCTAATTTATGTGTTCCTGGGGCTGTATGTTTGTTTTTTCTTACAGGAGCAACAATGTGCATTTTTAATTTGTAGTCTGTCCTTTTATTTTGTTTCCCACCACCCTCTTGTCCTGAATTTGACATCCTCATAATAACTGTAATAATAACTGAAACAAACAGAAATAGAACAAATTTTAATTGCAAAAGGTGCCAGAAAGGGCAGGATTTAAAAAAAGGTTTAGCAGCACAGAGCATTTTTCTAGCCTTGGGGTTCTTTCTGTTCTTTTTATTACCTTTGCCCACCAAAATGAGACCCACCTGTCTGTGTGTGTGTTTGTGTGTATGACATTACAGCATCCTTTTAACACAGGAGGCTGTATAATTGAGGTAGAGCCTTTTTTTTTTTCTTTAAGCATACTTAGTTACAGCTCATTGGGTGCTGTTCCTCCCACTGAACGTGGCAAAAAGCGTGCAATGGGAACAGTGGTGTTACGGGTCCGTGCTCGTCTTGTTCCATCCTCATTTATTGTGGCACCACAGTGGAGTTGGCTCAAAATCAAGGGGCAAAGGATGCTTTTTAGACCCATTCAGCTTATTAATAGGAGACAGTTCAGCACAACAAGACAGAGAGGTACAATCCCCCTTAAGGTGCAACCCACCCCGGTGTAATTGCTCTGCATTTATCCGTAATTACTGTTTATAAGTAGGGCAGCGTAAATAGGTAGCTATTAGACTTGGCACAAAAAGCTCACATGGAGTAGAACAACTAAAGGGATTCAAGCACACAAACATAAAAAAACAGGAATACATTCATAACAGTACCTTAAAAGTTCTCACTCTCTATTATCTCACTTTTTTTTAACAGAGCCTTCTTATGAAACTGTAAGCCCTTTGCTATGTCCTCCCCTGGACAACTGCTCCCTGTCAGTGAATGACTGCCCCTATGGTTTCCAACAAGACAAAAATGGATGTCTTCTTTGCCAATGTCTCAACAGTAAGTCTTGATTTTTTTTTAGCTCACCGTAGAGGGTTAAAGTTACTGGGAATGACTTTTAAACGCGTGACGAGATGATGCATTTCTTCTCACGTGCCGCGTCTTGCAGTGCCACATTAAAGCTGTGGACAGTGCTGTGTTTACCCGTTGCAGCCACTTGGTTTTGACAGTAGACATGTTGATATTCATCACAGCTTATTGGTGTTTTACTTTGTGAGCAGGAATGTTGCTGCGAGCGGCTCCATGGCAACTCCTGCCTTTTGCCTTTAATGGATTGCTGTGGTCGTGATCAGATGACTTCCTTCTCAACTCTTTCAGATGACTCCTGCCCTGACCTGGGAACGTACTGTTCCCTGCAATGCCCAATGGGTTACGAGAGGGATGATTTTGGATGCGAGGTGTGCGAGTGCAGCGTGCCCGTGCCAAAGTGCCGACCTTTGAGCTGCACTAAGACCTGCCCCTACGGATATGTGTGAGTACACCCACTGATCCGCTGAGTCCAGCTGTATGTTAATTTTTTCATTCGTGTTTTTGAGTCTGATTTAAACACACGTGTCTGTCAGTGCTGCGCTTAAAGTTTCAATGGCTTTGAATCTTTCAAATATTTTAAAATTACGTCAGCATCTTAATGATCACTTCACAGTCCGTAGCTGCGTTTACTCCAGGAAAAATGGCTTTTAAAGAGTTTTAGTTTTCATAAAAACTACAAATCATTTTCTCCCAGCCATCCCTCCACTGCATATTTGTATGGTTAAATAAGATTTTCAGTACTTAATAATATTAAGTGATGCCCTTCCAAAGAAAGTATACCAGGCAATTGCAACAGTAGTCATCAAAGTGCCTACTTTGGTGGCCAATCCCGGGTCTCTGTGTTAGCTTGTGTGTATATTTGTGTGTGAGTCATTTGCTGTGGGGTCCGCACTAGCCGCTCGGCCCTCTACAACTCCTCTCCTCCTAATCCCATTTAACCCAATCAAACATCTGGAAGTGCTCTGTACTGGGACGCTTGGTCCCCAGGCACCATTCTCATTTCATTAATCATCACCCTGTCTCAAAACAACGATCAAAAACACATCAGGACAAAAGCAGACTTTAGGAAATATATACAGTTGGGATCCTTCTGATATCGCCACCGTTCTTTCTGGAGCCACAGCTCAAGAGGGCACAACAGGAGAGGAGGATGAGTTGGATCCTGCAGGGAGGAGAAGAGCAGGAAGTCCTGGCTTTATCCTTCATAAGCAGCTGTTTTGGTCTAGCCTTAGAAGTCTGAAATCCTCTGAGAGCTTGCCAGTCTTACAATGCAAATCTTTCTTCTCACACACAACCCTGAATGCAGCCACCGCAGAGAGATGAAAAAGCACAAAGCATCTCTGTGTTTATACTGGGTGTATTGATGACATCCTGTGAGCATTGTAATGTACAGTACGTGTTCAAAAACAAATGGCGCTGGCCTGTGAAGCGAGAGGAATGTAAACCGTGTGTTAAACATTCCTAAATGAAGGACTCTGCGGATACTTCTCATATCTGAAGTTTTTGTTTGTGCCGTCAGGATTGTTTTTTTTCCACCTTTCATAGCTCAAACTCACAACTGGGACCACACAGGTTATGAATGGCATTCTTCTGGCCATTAAGGTTGCGGCCTGCTGGAAATGATCCCCCCTGGAGCCCAAAGTGCTGCTTGGCATTCAGCATACTATCTTTAAACAAAGCCTTACTCTAAGAGTGCAGCGCTCTCTGCCTCTGTGTTTGTACGGTGAGGCTGTAGCCAACCCTTCACAGTGTTGTTTCAATAGCTGTTATTGCTGTTTCAGCATAGATGGGCTCCCCTGTTTGCTGAGCCTGAAATCCTGTGTCCTCTTTATGGGACACGGCTCTGCATCACAGGGTCGAAGGCTTCTTTAATTTTTCACCCTGGCAGACGAAGATTAATAGAGTAATTATCCGGGTATAATGAGGCCACCGTGTGAGGTAGGAATCATCACGCACCTGGAGGGTAAGACAGAGAGGAAGTGGCTGGGCGAAGATGGATGAGACAAGGTTAAACAGGACTAGTGTCTAGAAGGAGACAAGTGCAGACACACAGGTTGTACTTTCACTTGGGTTTTTGCCAGTTTATCAGCGTGCAGCTCATTCGTGTTTTATTAGGTGGAATAATTGGATCCAAGTGGTCTATTTCCAGACACTGGAAGCAGATCAGATCAACAAAATGTATGTTTGTGAAGAAGTCCCTGTCCCTTCCTCTAATTATTGGACCATAATGTCCTGGTGGGAGCAGTAATTTGTAAATCAACCAGAAGTTTACAGTGACAAGGACCCAGTTCTTATTTTTTTCCATCTTTTTCGATGAGATCGATACGATTTTATTATTCACAGTAATGCTAATCTAGCCACTCTTCTTATATGTCTTATACGAGGCTTTCAGAGCAATAAGAAAGGCAGGAAAGTGAATTGTGCTCTTTTTTTTCCAGAGGCTTCGGGCTGGTATGATGTGCAAACCACAGGGATCTCACATGTTGGCCCTTTATTTGCTCTTCTTCAAAGCCAGCTAATATAGAGAGGGGAAAAGCAAGTCCAGATGTTGATTATTCATGACTGAAACATCTGCGTTTCGCTCTATCACAACACCATGTTTTCCTCTATGTGAAGCAATTTGAAACCACGTTTGAGCTACACAGGAGTGGCATTGTTTAGTCCTGACACTTTGTTTACTTGCTCACACACTCTTGCAGTAATTAAGGCTTTTTCGTGTGCACTTCATCACGCGTATGTTTGTTCCCCTGCAGCAGGAACAAGCATGGCTGCGAGATGTGTCGCTGTGTCAAGTGTCCTCCCTTCACCTGTGACAAGCACTGCGTCAATGGCTACCGACAGAACAGGAAGGGCTGCTCCATCTGCATGTGTAAAGGTAACCGAGCTCTCTTATTAATCAGGTGTGCGTCGTGATTAAAGGGATGCTTCGCTGGCTGTGTTACTTAAGCAAAAAACACAAAAGAGTCTGTCATTTCATGCAGAAGTTTGTAACTTTATTTGTCTAAACATTTAGCCAGAAATGAGATGAGACACTAAAAAGCACTAGCTGGAAATTCATGTAAACATTTTTGAAATGACCTGATGAAGCTTAATCATCCAGGTAAGGTAAGCAAACACTACGTCCAGGTGAACAGGATCAACTGTCTGTGATTTTGTAATGACCTTTAAATAATCGAAGAGCTTTATGAACCAATATTTATTACTGAATAAACATTTGAAATTAATGATATGATGATAGATTCAAGATGGATACAAGTGGTGACACAAAACTGTGAGATATTACTAATAATTGTACTGTGAAAAAGTCTTGAACCACTCTTTATTTCTTTATATTTTGCTTCTAAGGAGCAAGCCTTCATTGTAATTAAAGTGGTCTTTGGTCAGAGTTTTTCTTTTGGCACTTTCTGCTTTTTCAAACTGGAAGAATTAAGCTAGAGATGCTAGAAGACACAGAGGGAAGATGACTTGATGATCTGACAAGAGACAGGGGAAGACCGAGACAGTATATACACATGAGTGTGATTAGAAGTGGAGACACTTGGGAACACAGTTGGAGCAAACTAGCCATAACGAGAGAGGGGAAGGAAAACTAAACGTAACACGCATGGGACAAGAGACTGTCACAATAAAACAGGAAACAGACAGACACCAGCCGCAGGAAAACATGGGGAACACAATGAGACTCAGACTGACTACATACAGAAACACAGAACAAGAGAGTGCGAGCGGGGAACAGATAGAGAGAGGGCGAGGAAGAAAGAGTTACACATTCATAAGCAGACACGGTAGACTAGCGGTCCCCAACCCCCCGTGAGTCATTCGACGCTCAAGTGTGAAATTTATGGTTTAACTCGGTCTTTTCCCGTGTTGTAGTTGTGTGTTTGAAAGAAATATTTACGCGTTACCATAGCGACCAGAGAGCATTGAGGGGCAGAGAGGAGGATGTTACTCTCAGTGTTGTTGCTGCATTTCATGAGGACGCTGCTAATAAAGTTGCACAGTGAATTCACGTTTGTTAATACCAGATTTTGTCTTGGTCGTATCATTTATTTTGTTGTATTTATCCGCGACACCTTAAAGCCGGTCCGTGAAAATATTGTCTCCGATGCGCAGGGGAAGACACAGCAAGGAGACAAGACAGGGAAGACAGACTGGACACGAAAGAGCACAAAACAAACAATAACAAAGAACTAGAAACATAACAAACGGTTCTCCAAACTGAACATTAACATTTCATTAACCTGCAAGAAATGAACAAAAGACTCAAAAGCCTGGGTCAAAGACAGAGGACTATGACAGATTGATCCACAGCTCTCTAAAGCCTCAGAAAGGGTCTCAGTGGAAGGGCGTCTGCCAAGAAGCCATTATTGAGGAAGGGAAGTAGAGAGAAAAGGCTGAGGTGAGCCAGATTACACAAGAACTGGACTGAAAATCTGTGGCAGCAGGTTGCATAGAGCGATAAATCAAAAATGTACAATTTTTTGTTTAAATCATCGTCGGGAGATAGGAGGAGATCAGGATAGAGGTAGGAACAGCGAGTGTCTACAGCATCTGTGAAACAGCCAGTGGACCTTGACATTAATGAAGCTCTGGGATCCTCACAACAGAGATGAAGACAAAATACATCAAAAGAACAGCTATGAATGTCCTTCAAAAAGCCCGGAGAACTATTCATGATAGCTACTTAAAGATAGGACCTAAAAGCTGGACTACGAGACTTTAGTGGTTAGTAAAAACATTGACTTTCCATCTCATTAGAATTGCACAAACTCAGTTTTTGCTTCATATCCTGTATTTCTATCTATGTTTGCACGTTTCAATCAATGGCTGGACCTAATTAGCATTTCCGTAGCAAAATATAAAGAAGTATAGAGAAAGAAGAAGGGTGAGTCAAGTAGTACAAGATGAATAAAACAGTTGCCTTTCAGGTTGAAGCCAACATAGTTTCTCATTTTAATACAACAGGCCACTGTAATATTGCAGTAGTTTAAAACAAGTTGTAGAAAGGACATTCAGGGTACTCTCAACAGCCAGTCGATGTAAAAAACAGAATTGTACATTTTAATCTCTAAATTCACTGATCATGATCACCTTCTTCTTTTTTATGAGTCAGAGGATAAGCCCTGCCTATTTTATGCAACCTCTTGACCTTTAATGTTCAACCGATCAACCTTCATATCATAAGTTCAAAGATTATTGAGACTTTTGCTTGTGTGCTTGCTTGTATATGTTTCACCCATCTCTAAATTGTTACATAGAGCTACATCCTCACGTTTAACTGCAGTTTCCCCACATGGCCTGAAGTGTAAGGGGGAGAACACAGGAGAGCTTCGTTTCTGATTTTAACCTGAGCTTTGATTTCCTGTGACCTTTTGCTTTACTGCCGTGAGACTGATGCTTTTATGTGTGCTTCTTGTTGATGTTAGCTTTATCCTGGGGATGTGTGTGCAACTCTAATTAGATTCCCTCAAATTCCTGCTTTAAAAGTTAGTATGCAGAAGCCACTTTTATGCCTGCAGCTGTGTTTACTTTGCCATTTTAGAACTAGTATAAATATCTCATCCTCAAATATACTTAACCTTTTCTTTGGTTTACGAGGTAATCTGTGCACCTACTGCACAAACACAGTAACACACACACACAGATGTTCCTACTGCAAATAATCCACTGTTTGCCTGATTTGAAAGTCCTGAAAGACTCTCTTTGTAGACTAATAAAATATTTAGTGGTAAAGTTACTTTTTTGGGAAGTCAGTAAAAAAGAAAAGAGATTTGGAAATTTCCTATAGCTCTTAGGCATTCCAGTAATGCCTGCACCTTGTGTCTCCAGAAAGTGGTCACGTCCCGAGCACCACTGCCCCGGCCCCAGTGTCCAGCTATTGCCTCACATCCAATGGACAGAAATATGAGGAAGGTGAGGGCTGGCATGATGGCTGTCGCGACTGCTACTGCCATTCCGGACGGGAGATGTGCGTGCTCATATCCTGCTCAGTGCCCAGCTGTCTTCATCCTGTTGTCAAGCCTGACCAGTGTTGCCCTACCTGTGAGGGTATGTTTCTGTGCTGTTTATAGCAAGTGTTTTCTTATTTTCATAGTTTGGGCTCATCAGTAATAATCTATGACATCAGTGACATTGCTCAGAGGAAGTCTGGTGAGTCAAGAAAAAACAAGCAGACAGATTTAAAACATCCCTTCCACCCACCCTCCTTATTAGTTGCACATATTTGCAAAGCCAAACAAGGGAGAATAGTGCAGTTATTCCCAAAGCTATTCATATAAAACAATTATCCCTATTTACACAAAGACTTTCAAGTCTCTCAATCATGCTGTAGTTGCCCGCATCTAGTTTTCCAGTCCAATAACAGTTTATTACCATCATTATGGGTGCAGCCACGTTCAAGTCTTCATTGCAGAAATTTTGCTGTCTTGCTAGATCTCAGCATTTACTCCTGGTGTTGTTGTGATTACTAAAATTAATGTACAAAACTAAGAAAATAAGACTAAAGATTGGTTTAAATGAAACACTTTAGAGATCAGAAATAGTTCCAGTGATGTTATATAGTCACACACAGCAGGCAGAGAGCTTTGACTCAGAATCGAGCTCTTAAATCTCGCACTTTCTGGCCCCTTAAACATGCAAACACCGTCTCTATCTGTTTCTCTAAAAATGGAAAGTTTTTTTCTTTTTTGGCCTCGAATCTCCAAGTGTAGGGATATTTATGGAGGAGTGATTCAGTTTGCTCTTCAAATATTTAAAGGGGAATGTCTACAACTTTCAGAAGCTATGCACACTTTAAAGTCAGGGGGACAAAAAGTCTAATATTTTGCAGATGTCTGCTGCTCTGTTGGACAGGAAGATGTTTTCATTAGATCAGTTAGTTGACAGTGGTTAATAGACAGCGGTCTCCATAGCATCTTTGTTTTTGTAACTTATATATATATATACATACATACATACATACATACTAGAGGCCAACTCCAAGCCCATAGCACGAGTCACCATCAAGTGCGGGATCTACCAAGGAGATGCTCTGTCCCCACTGCTGTTCTGCATAGGCCTGAACCCCCTCAGTGAGATCATTAACAAGACTGGC